GAGGGCAGTGTCACTGGCCCTCATATGTGGGATCCAAACCGGGGCCCTCTGGCGTCCCAAGCCAGTTCTTAACCATCGCGCCACTTAGCTGGCCCTAGTTTTTTTTTTTAACTTCCATCATAAATATATTATTATTTTTAAAATTTCTAGAAAAAAATTTTTTTTTTAAGATTTTATCGGGGAATTGGGGGAGGGGAACAGATAAGTTGCTGTCCTTTTGTTCTTCAGTCTAGTTGTAGAGGACGTCGCTTCACTGGCCCATGTTGCTATTATCATTACGCTCTTACTGGGTGAGGCAGTTGCTTGCTGGCCATTGGATGGCTGCTCACGGCCGGCTGTTGGCTGCTCGCACTGGCGGCCAGCCACTCATGGTAGCTCACGGCAGCCCACTGTAGCAGGGACTGCAGCTTACACCATCGCTGGCGACTCATGGCATCCCAGTTCCAGGTTGAGCTGTTGTTTACCATCTTAGCTGTAGAGGGCGCAGCGTCACTGGCCCTCATGTGGGATTCCAGCCGGGACCCTGCTGCTCAGAGCTGGCGTTCCAAGCCAACTCTCAACCAATGCACCACTCTGCTGGCCCCCAATTTTTTTTTAAAATTCCCTTAGCCTTGTTGATAATGTGAAATCTTGCAGGCTCTAGGGAGAAAAGTCACACATGTGTTTCCACCCCGCCCCCGCCCCCCCCAATACAATTGGCATCATATTTTCTCAAAAAAGGTTTTGTTCTCAAGTTGGCCTATTTTTCATGTTATAGACAGTGGTAAATACTTTGTATTGTTTTAATTTCTGTTTCTTCTAGTACCCTGGTTATTTTGGGACTTTGGTTTTGATGCGTTTTTAAAGTGATCATTTAGACTATATGAAAGCATTGCATTAGTATGTCATGACCCTAAACTGCAGTGTGTTAATGCTGCATTTAAAAACTATTTGGGGCTGGCTGAGTGCCACAGTTGGTTAAGAGTGCGAGCTCTGAGCAACAGGGTTGCCGGTTCGATTCACACATGGGCCAGTGAGCTGCGCCCGAGCTGAGCTGTCGCTGAACTGCCAACAGGTAGCAAGATGGCTCAGCTGGTGAGAGCATGTGCTCCTAACAACAAGGTTGCCAGTTCAACTCCTGCATGGAATGGTGGGCTATGTCTACCTGCAACTAAGATTGAACATGACATCTTGAGCTTGAGGTGAATGACGGCGAGCTGCCGACGGGCAGCCGGATGGTGACTGGACTTGGAGCTGAGCTAGCTGTGCCCTCCACAGCTAAGACTGAAGGACAACAACTTGTCTGTTCCCCTTCCCCAATTCCCCAATGCTCTTCCCTTTCCCCAATTCCCCAATAAAATCTTAAAAAAAACACACACAAAACCCCCAAACTATTTGTATTATTGTGTTATAAATTAGTATGAATTACTGGGTTTTAAAAACATTTTCATCTTGAAGGTGGGGGAGGATTAAAGTAAGTTTAGTCAATTTAGTAAGAGTTTGTTTAAGCACATTCAACAAAGACAGGATATATTTGAAATAAACAGTAGCCCAACTATAACCTTATCATACAGCTTAAAGAGTGCATTCTCTCTGCCCCAGATTTTACCTGGCTCCTCCTCTGGCTAAATGTGTGACCTTGGGCAAGTTACTTAACTCCCCTAAGCCTGGATTTCCTCCCCAGTAAAATGGGGGAGATTAATAGTATCCACTTTAAAAGGCTGTAAGGATTAAATGAGATGATGTATGTAAAAGCTTCTGGCATAGTGCCTGGCACACACAAGTGCTCTTTAAATATTAGCTATGATTAAGACTCATTATTATTAATACATATTATTCATATGTAGTAGGCTTTATTTTATTCATATTTCTTAGATGCAATTCCTATTTCCTTGACAGTGTTGAAGAGTTCAATTGAGGTAGCGAGATGATTTATTCTTAGGCATTTTTATTTCTAATATTTTTCCATTAATCCATAATGCTTCCTGTTGGTGTAATAATGCTAGCATGTAAACCTCTCCAGGGCTGTTGCTGCTTTTTCCAGACCCAATTTAGCAAGGTTTTGGAGCTGAAAGTTTTGGAGTTTGAAGTGAACAAGGGTCTGGGGTTATTTTCTTTTCTTGGGGAGGTGGGGTGGTGGTGGGGGTGGTGGTTATTTTCTGAAGACTACCCTGGTGTGAGGGCCAGCCACTCACCGGATGAGGGGGAGCAGGTCCAGGTAGGCTGTTCTCACCACATCTACTTGAGCCCCAGACAGGAAGTCATCATGGAGAAAGTCACCCGCGTTAGACAGGATGCCATGCAAAGCATAGAGGTCACAGAGACGTTTGAGTGCTTGCTGAATTGATGGTTCATTTTCTAGTCTCTCCAGAGCTTCCGTAAAACTCTTCACACTGACATAGTAGCAGTGTGCCTGTAAAGACAAAGATGCGTTTAGCCTCTGATTCCTGACTCCAGAAGGCATCCTGGAACCTGGCGGGAATGTTGGAATAAGCTTACTGCAGCCCTGTGTTTCCCAGCAGGCTGACAAGCAACTACCTTTGCTCCTAGCTCACTGTGAGTCTGACTGGGTCTTTTTGATGGTGTGTGTTGGGGGCTGGTGGGGTCTGGAACTTGGCCCTTAGTTTTCTCATTTGCTTGGGGCAATTTCAAGTAGGTTTGAAAGTAGAGAGAAAGAAAACAGGAGTAATGGAGGTTGGCCTGGGGATAGTGGAGGACAGCACCACTTTTCTTAAGACAACAGCTATTTCTTGTCTGCCATGTTCAGGGCAGTGTGTGTGTGTGTGTGTGTGTGTGTGTGTGTGTGTGTGTGTGTGTGTGTGTGTGTGTGTGTGTGCGCGCGTGCGCATGTGTGCATGCATCTTGAGGTGAGAAAATAGGGTTTCAAGATGTACATGAAATTTATCCCAGCTAGAGAGTAAATAAAGGTAGCAGTGAGGTAGCAGTGCTGTTATTTAGCCCATATGCAACAGTCGGCTCTGTTAGTGGTTAAAATATCCAAGTGATAATTGACATTGACCTCAACCAGGTGAGACCTCCCTCTGCCAGCCAGACTCCTTCTTTGGGACCCCCCTCCTCAAAGCCCAGCAACTAAAGCATTACTGCCTTACCCAGCAGGAAGCTTTCAGGACCCTGCTTCCCTTAGGCCTGAAGTCCTTTCCGATTGGTTGGTGCCCACCCTACTGGTTAAGTTTTTTTTAATATTCCCCCTCTCCCTAAAACAAATGCACATGTTATTTTTATTTGGTAGGTTATGAGTTCCATGGAGGGGTAAAGAATGGAGAGCATATAAAATGTTTCAAATGTTTATGGACATACAAATTACCTGGGGATCTTGTCAAAATACAGATTCTGGGATAGGAAACCTATGCATTCTTACAAGCTCCCTGTAATGCCCACGCTGCTGGTAGTGACTTTAAGTAGCAAAGCTTAGAGTGTCTTGAGGGTTCAAGGGCATTTACCCACAGGGACAAGGAATGGAGGGAAGGTCCTGTCTGGCAGGGAGAACTTCATATGCAAAGGGCCATCCTCTCAGCACACTGCAACCAATTTAATGAGGCTGAAGCACTGGGCTATAACGTGATGATGGGCCCCCAGGTAATGAAAGGCTGTGAGTGACAGGTTGGGATTTTATTCTGTGGGGATCAGAGAGCCACCAAAGTCATCAACAGGCCAGTGACCTGATCAGGTTTCTCACTTGGAAAACATCTGCCTTTCCCAGAGAGGCCTCACATGGGTGCTAACAACATTGCGTTGCCACCTGGACCCAGTGTGCTCACAGCCATGCTGGGTTAGCAACATTTGGACGTGGAAGAGAAGCACGTGTGCTCTGCTACTCCTGTGAGGTCAAACAGCCCCTGGTGCTCAAACTGGACCGAAGCTGGCAAAACTAGAGATGCATTCTTTTTTCTTTTTTTATGTAGTCCCAGCATCCCTGTTCTAATCTGAGTACCTGTCCTTAAATTCTCAGGGCCTTGGGTGGACAGTGGAGCGATGAAGCTGCTCGAGGGCCTCTCCCTTGGAAAGCAGGATGAAGACGAGAGAGACGGTGGCTTCTGTGCTTGGGTGAAAGGCAGAGCTAAACCTTGGCACCATGCTCAGAGCACGATGAACTTTCTTTACTTTTGTGCGTGTGGATTTAAATCTTGCCTTCTGCCCAATTTTGGGGTGGGGTGGGATATATAGTATTTATACCCTAGGTGTCTCTCTAAGTTTTACATGTATTAACTCACTTAATCTTCATAATAATCTTATAAGTGAGGTACTAATATCAGCTCCATTATGTGGATGAGGAGCCTAAGGTGCAGAGAGGCTAAGTTCCTTGCCCAAGGTCACATGGCTGGTAAGTGGTAGCAGCAAGAACCAAACCAGGGCAGACACCTCCCAGTTAAGGGTCTACACTTTCCTTTTTAAATTAATTAATTTTCCAATTACAGTTGACATACAATATTATATTAGGTTCAGGTGTACAACATAGTGATTGGATATTTATATATCTTATGACGTGACCCCCCTGACTAGTCTAGTACCAATCTGACACCATATGTAGTTATTACCACATTATTGACTATATTCCCTGTGCTGCGCTTTACATCCCCATGTAGAGTCTGTACTCTTGGTTGCTGCCCTGCATCGCCAAAGCCACCAGAGACTGAGGTTGGATTATAACGAGTGCCAGCACTTGCTCCAGTGCTTCTAGGGACTGACATCTCTCCTAGGCAGGCAGGGCTGAGATTATAGGCCTTGTGACCATCAAAGCTTAAAGGGCTCTCCATGCCCCTTTATTTTACAGACAGGAAAAGCAAAAGCCTGGAGAGGGAAAGACTGCCTGGGGTCACATGGCAGGTCACATGGCAGGTCCTGCACAAAGCTGACCAGAACTTAGGCCAGGATTCCTCCTTCCTGTGCACCCCCTCTACCACTGTTCCCTGCCCCTCTTGTGTTGCTGTCACTGTCTACCTGCATATTTATGGTTTCCAGATGGGACCTGGTTGGGTGCTTGAGATTTCTGTACAGTAGAAGGCCTCCCAAAGCACAAAGCCCAGGAAGTGCTGGTTTCCCTGCCCATTATGACTTTGGAGACTTGGCTTGGGCGCCACCTTCCCAGGAAGCCCAGGACTTGCTCTTCTTCCCCAGACTGAGAGTTTCTCTCCCCCACCCCCAGCCCCCAGCTTGGGGCTCACCTCCCTCACTAATGCACAGTGGCTCCCTGAAGGTATGACTTGTATCCTTAGGGGGAAGGGAAAACAAAGCATCATAGCTGTTTCTTACCTCTGGAACTGAACTCTTTGGAGTTCTGTGTTCTCGGCCTTAAAACAGAGATTATGCTATTCTCCCTCCCAGGGTTTTGTGTATTAAATGGGGTAACCCTGGAAGCAGTGTCTGGTCCATTTGAAGGCAGGGCATGGGTTTGGTAAACAAATGAATAAATGGGGGCTCTGGTTCCTTTTTTGGTAGTCTGGTGCGAGCACAGCCGTGGCTCGCCCTCCTCTTTGTTGATAGGACATTTGGCACAGCAGGGAGTGCCCTGCAGTGGACAGAGCATGACGGATGGTGGCAGAGTTAATACCTATCCGCACCAGCCAATGTGATAGAGGTGGCGGGTCACCAGGTGGCGCTCATGTCCAACCTGCACGACCAGCCCTGCCTCATCATGAAGGCTGCTGCAAACTCCTTCAGGACTTTCCGGTTCTAAGGCTGCCATTTTCTGCGCCTGATGCCTGATGCCTGATGCCTGATGATGGACGTGATCGCCTTGATTTCCCAGCTGTAGGTAGGGCCAGAGTTCCAGCTGCCTGAGGTGGAGCTCAAGAGTCATTCTTACTTTTCTTTTATCCCCTTACTATCTCTTTGCATCTTTCCACTTCTCTCCATGCCCTCTGCCAAGTTCATGGTCGGGACCCCCCTCAGCTCTCGCCCCGACTGCTGCTTCCTGCTTCTAACTAGCCTCTAGCCTTCAGTCCCTTCCTTCCACTGCAGCCTGAATGATCCTTCTAGAATGCAACTAATCACTTCATTCCCCAATACAAACTCTGCAGAGGCTTCCCATTGCAGTGAAAACAGCACCCACACTTCTCACAGTGGTGCAGAAGGTCCCAGGCCTTGCCTAGCTTTCCTCCTCTGACCGCTCTTTCTTCCCCTTCTGTTTCAGTCTTTTTTTCTTTAGGTCCTTGGGAGGATATGCATTTCCTCCCAAGCATTATGCCTCCTCTGCACCTGCTGCTCCTTTTGCTTGGAAACCTTCCTCTCCAAAGTCATAGCCTCTACTCCTCGCCTGCCTAATTTCAGCTCATCCTGGAAGCCTTGGTCTATATGCCACTTCTGGGACGTCTTTCTGACTTCTCACGGTGGGTAGACATGTGTTGCTCTGGATCCTGTGTCGGCCTGCATTTCCTCATCACAGTGCTTCCTCAGTTGCCGCTATGATTGGGCACCCTTGAGCCCCAGGACCCAACCGGGTGCCTAGTGTTGAGTGGGTGCTCAAATATTTGCTGCCTGACTGTGAATTATGCACAAACTCAAAACAGTGGAAATTGAATCAGACATCTAAGGATTGCCTGTGGGACTAAGGGGGAGACTTGACCTGCTTTTCTATCTGGGAGGAATATTTGAACAACCTGAAGCAAATCCAATAACACTGCCTCATTACGTTTTTCCCTAAGAGCTGCCAGCAAGATTGCTTTGGAGTTAAATCCTTTAATTAAAATACCCTGGACTAAAGCTTTGGAAGTGAAATGAGGGCAGCCGCTGAGCAGGGCTCAAGAATAATGGCAGAGCTCGGATTTGCCCAGCAGGCTAGCCTGCTGGGGAAACAAAACGGGCTCCTTTCAGCTTCAGCTGACAGGAAGCTCACCTTAGCAGCCTGGAGGTGTATGACAGTGGTCTGGTTCCATGCCTCGTGCTGGTCAGCCCCGGACTGCTGCAGAGTCTGTAAATGATGCACCGAGTCCTTTATGAGCCTGAAGGTCAGAGAAAAAAGGTTTAGCTTCTTAACTGAGTGGGAAAGAGACGGATGGTGTTTGATCCCAGGCAGCCTGGGGCCCCTCAGAAGTAGAAATAATTCCCGTTTATGAACCACTTTTGTGTTACAAAATTAAATGTTTGATAAACATTAACTCTTTTAAGGGCAGGCATCCCAATTTACAGTGGGGAAAACTGAGTCCCAAGAGAGGTTAACTGACTAGTCCAGNCCTCTACAGCTAAGATGCTGAACAACAGCTCAACCTGGAGCTGGGCTGCCGTGAGGCGACGGCATAGGCTGCAGTGGGGCTGGCCGTCAGCTGGCATGCGCTTTTGTGAGCTGCTGTGAGCTGCCGAGAGCAACCGTCCAATGGCTGGTGAGCGACTACCTCACTGGGGAAGAGCGCAATGATAATACCAACTTGGGCCAGTGAAGCGACGTCCTCCACAACTACACTGAAGAACAAAAAGGACAGCAACTTGTTTGTTCCCTTTCCCCAATTCCCCAATAAAAAAAAAAAACCTTAAAAAAAAAAAGGATGCCTTTCTAGAGACAGGGGATGACCAAAAGTGGATTGGCCTTCTATCTACCCGCAACTGTTTTGGGGGTAATTGGTTGTGTTACAACTTTAGATGTTAAATTAAGCTATGAGGTATGACAGGATGTAAAATGTTAAGAGCAAGCCGAAAACCATGGTAAGTGTGAATGAAAGCCTGAGAGTTGCCAATTTGATGAGGTGTTAAGATGCCTTTTCTGAAATTTGACCTAAGAGGTAAAAAAGTAAGCTTCATCATCTAACATATTTGCATTATAGAATTTAAAATAATCTGTTGTGTACCTATAGACCGTCTTTGTTTTGATCGTCTGTATCAAATCTATTAAATATTGGTTCCCCAAATTCTAAATACAGGCCTTATTTCTTTATTCCAGTTTATGTACTCATTGACATAACTTTTTTCCCAGGGAGGGTCCTAGCAGAGAGTCTGGGACCCTGGTCCTAGTCGGTTAGGATTTTATGAATCCTCCCCCTTTTCTGTTAATGTCATAGAATTCTGGTATTTTCTCAAGGACAGCTGGGGGTCTTTTCTCCATAACCCTTGTAATTGTCATTTATTTGGCTCTCCAGGCCTATTGATGGCAGTGAAGCCGCTTTCTTTGTTCTTGGGATTGTGGCCCTCAGATTGAAGAGGAGGGAGGCGTCCTTAGCAGGCAGTCAGGTCTGAGACACCCCCCCCCCCCAGCTTCCTGTCACCTCTGAATACCCACTTTTATCAACACAAAACAGAGTTAAGAGGCTGAAAATAAGATGGGGTGTGATTTATCTTATTTTTGTTACTTAGAAGCCAATTTGCCATTACGTTTGTATGCCCTTGGGTGTGTCAAGCCATGATTTAGAGCTTGGGTCTTCCTCCTAATTCCCTTTATCAAATTCCGAGCAGTGCACTTTGCTGATTACAGTCCAGACTTGGAGTTCCTGCCAGGCCACATCCCCATTCTTGGTTTCTTTTACGTAGTCTCAAAATATTTTAAACAGACATGCTATGCCAAGCGATTTCTAACCTAATGGGAATCAATTAAAATGGGAAAACATGGAGGTGTAGTCACTGCTTGTTTTCTGCTCTCTTACATAATTTATAATGTGTTCTACTCAACTACCTGGGTATTGGTTGGTGACTTCTGAGCCCAATGGAACAGACGTTCGTAGGCATTTCCATCGTAACAGCCAAGTGCTGAATTTAAACACTGATCCGTGAAGTCAAAAGCATCAGTTAACGAGATGGCATCCTTCCTGAGAGGAAAAACAAGAGTTTGTGAATATTTTAAATTGCTTTTATGAATCTGATTAATCTGGAATGGTGAATAACAACACCCAATTAGAGGCTGCATCATCATTATTCACTTTTCGAACAACTTGACTTTTTTTAAAAAGTTTTTATTTTTTTAACAGTTATACATGCACAGAATAAAGACTCAATTCTTTAAGCCTTGTTATTTAAAGTCCGCATATTCTTGCCTCTCACCTCCATCCCAGAGGCAATTAATTTCAGCCTTTTAACTGATATTTTTGGTTTTTACCTGAATGTCTAAATACCTTATGTGTATTGCTACTTCTTGTTTGTTCAGTTTCATATATTATCTGTTGACTATTATACAAGATGAGGATTTATTTTTAGCACCCTTCTCACCCCTACATATCTCACCCCTGCTTCCTGCCTCCCAATATATTGGGTTGTTGGAAAAGTCATGACGTAATTTTTCTGTTTTTCGTTGGAAAAATGCGTCATGACTTTTCCGACAACCCAATGGTTACAATTTTGGCCAATTAGTCTCTGCTTCTATTATCATGACTGTGTATCCCATATATTGTTATGACTTTACGTGTCTGTTGATAGCTGAGCTGTTACAGTGCCCTACCTGCAGGCTCACTGTGCTCTGGCAGACGTGCCGAGCACACCCTGGTCTCCGACATTTGTACTTATTCTCTCCCTGGAAAGCTCTTTTCCCAGCCAACCACATGGCTCCTCTCACCTGCCCACCTTCAGGTCTTCCCTCAAATGTCACCCTCCCTGAGTGGCCTTCTTGGACCTTTTTCAAATTACAGTCCTCCCACCCCACCTCACCCCCAGCATTCCTGATTCCCTTCTCCTGCTGTCCTTTTTTGCATAGCACTTATCATCATTTCGCACACTGTATGTTTGACTCATATTTTGTGTCTCCTCTTTTTTAGGCTATAAGCACCTGTTTCTTTTTCAATCTGAAACTAGTATTCCTCATTTGAGGAGTGTTTTCCTTGAATTATTTTATTAATGATATGCTCCCTTCTGGTTTTTTTTGCTGTCTTCTCTTTTTAGACTTGTTTTTTGGATGAGGAACAGTTAGGATCAGCCCTCTTACTGTTTTTATCTTTTCTCTCCTATTTTTGTCTTTTTGCATTCTTTCTGTGAGATGTCTGCAACTTTATATTCAGTCCTTCAATTGAGTTTTTCATTTCCACTCTTATTTTTTAATTTCACAGAGCTCTTTTTTTTCTGTTTTCTGAATATTGCTTTTTAAGAAATAACATTCTTGTTTTATGGTTACAATATCTCCTCTCAACCCTTTGAGGAGATTACTGATCTTTTAAAACAGTTTTTTCTTCCTGAGGATTCTCTTGTATCTTTCAGGTTGCCTCATTCTAGCTTGTTTTGATCTCTGTTGTTCATGTCAGGGGCTTTCTGCTGATCCCTGAGTGTCTGATCATAGCTAGCAGTGGGGCACTCACTTGCTGATAAGAAGTCTAGGTGTGCTTGTCACTGTGGGGTTGACTGTGGGGTGAATTGGGTGGCCCACTGGGGGGCCCTGGCGATCATGGTATCATCGTCCTGTAGGGTACTGTTTCCTGGGAACCAGTGAGAAAAGAGGGCTAGAGGTGGGGGTCATCAGCATTTGGCCTGTAAACATTTATTGAAGCCCCTGTTTTCTGAAGGGTAGCCTCATCCTCACCTGTGTCTGATTTTCCCTCATTCACAGACCCTGTTTACCTTTCTGCCAGGGTGGGGGCAGGGAAAGTTAAAACTACCCATGGCGGAGGGGAGCTGGGGATTCAGCTCTTTGTGAAATAGACTTTCAACTTTTCCTGTCAGTCGCCTTCACCCGCATTGCCAGAGGTGCATAGTTCTGCTAATTCTCGAGGTTCTTTGGGAAACCTCTTCTGGTTTATGATTCACTTTTCTCAGGTCGGCTAAGGCAGTCCACCCACTTCAATTTTCATGTTTCTTCTCATGTTCTCTTTCTCTTTGTGGGTCCTTTTTAAAAATTGGAACCCATTTGCTAATGGTTTAGTGGGTTTTCAGGAAGGAACAAAGTAAATGCGTTATGTTCAATCTGCCATCTTTACCTGGAATTCCCCCAGCTGGGATTGTATGACCATTTAAACAACTAAAAACTGTTTGGGTCAGTTAATTACCATTACACAGAGAACTGGTTCTTAGTGTTCCTTAGAATAAATAGTGTGCCATCCTTCACTTGTCACCACGGAAATCTGAGGGCGATACTGAATAATCAAGGCAGGGAATTGTGACACAACTGTTAAGAGCATGGAGTCTGTTCCATACCTGATTACCCTGCAATAATAGGAAGGTTACTTAGGAACCATAATGTGAGTAAATCAATTTGTGGATTTCATGCCTACATAAATTGTCTGTTTGCGTCAGCACTGTCTTTCTTGTCTTGAATTGTAAGTTTCTAGAGCCAAGTCAAGCACTTAGAAAGGCTGTTGCAGATAAAAATCATGCTTATGAGGTGTTAAGGTGATCTTTCCTTTTGTGCTTCATCATCACTGCCAGTCAGGGCTAGAATATATTATTGTCTTCATGGGATTTTAAATCCCAAGCTTTTCAAAAGTTAGATACACTTAGACTTGAATTGTGCAATACTCACTTATGCTATTAATAGTTTCTACCACTGGATTCTCAATTATATTAGGGAAGGTTTAATACCTGGGACATAATTGTATCAGATATATTTTTGACGACTTAACTGAACGAACATTTACTGACCACCAGCTATCTGTGAAGTGCTTATGTGGAATCAAATGGTATGTAACATGTTGCATATTGTTAGAAATAAAATTATTTGGTCTAGTTTTTTTTTTTNAATATTTTACTTGCCTAGCACCAGAAGTCTATCTGTCTGACTTCATTTTTTTCCATTAAATATGATTTCTGAAACCCAAGGTATGTATATATTATTTAAAAAAGCTTGCTTTTCAAAACTAAAGGCCAGATTGCAACATTAATGTTACAAAAGTGAATTCACTATCAGATTTTGAAATCTGAAAGCTGCTGTTAGCTTTTGGGTATATGAGATTATGTTGACAAACTGTATTTTAACTTAGTGTTTCGCACAATGGTTATTACCATGAAAAAGTTATGAAGAGTAGGGTTGCACAAATTTTTATCTTTAAAATAAATTTCACAGGGCCGGCCGAGTGGCTCAGTTGATTAAGAGCTTGCTCAA